TCTGCCTCATGCAGGATGCCCCAGCACTCTTCTTCCTCTACACAGTGAGCGGCCGGGAGGGGAGGTCGGGGATTGCCGCCTGCTGGCCTCCGCCAGGACTGGTTCTGGTTGGCGCTGTTCATCGGGCACTCGGGTCACTTGTGCCCTAGTTGTTTGCACAGGTAGCACCGAATGGGTTGCGTGTACTCCCGTGCATTAAACCTAGGTGGCTGTTGGTACGGGGCAGATGGAGGAGGTGCTGATGGGCGAGTCATGGGAGGCTGGTATAGGTTGGCGGGGGCTGGTGCTGCTGGCCTGTATTCCACTTTGGCGGGAGCCTTGCTGATGAGACTGTCCAGTTTGCGGGCGTCGGTATACTCATCCGCCAGGCGAGCTGCTTCGTGTAGAGTGGAGGGTTTACGGTCCCTTACCCACTCTCTGACCCCTGTTGGCAATTTGTCAAAACAATGTTCTAAGAGGAACATCTGTAGCACCTCTTCCCCGGACACAGCCTGGCACCCCGCCATCCAGTGAGCGGCTGTGCGGTGCACCTTGCATGCCCATTCCACATATGAGTCCCCAGAGGTTTTAACCGTGTCTCTGAACCTCCTCCGGTACGCCTCAGGTGTAACAGCATACCGGGAGAGTAAAGCTTCCCTGACGGCCCCATAATCCCCAATCTCCTCATCTGGAATGGCCCGAAAAGCCTCGCTGGCCCGGCCAGATAACTTGCCGGACAGTATAGTAACCCAGTCTTCCAGGGGTACCTTGTGTAGGGCACATTGCCGCTCAAAATCAGCAAGGTACCCATCAATTTCTCCTTCTGTCTCATTGAAGGCTTTAAATGCTGTAAAGGGTACCTTTTTCCTATCTCCCAGGTTTGCTGTGACTGGGGCTGCTGCAGCACCACTTTGGCATAGCAGGTTGGCCTCCACAGCGGCTATGACCTGGGTGACAGTCTCAGTAGTTGGGTTGGGACCATAATGGGCCAGCCTGATCCTTACCGCCCGGTCGAAGCTTGCCTCCTCGGGGGTTCTGTCAGCTGTGCTGGGTCCATCGGTTCCCTCTGCCGCTGGTACTCCATCCATTTCCAGCAATAATGTAATAATATCCCTCTTCCTGAGGTTACTGGCTTGTCCGCCTCTTTGCTCTAATAAATCCTTTAGGGTAGCTCTCCTCAGGTTTTGATACTGTAATTCCATTTAGTCCTGGTTGTAGTGGTTTCTTTGGGCGCTGAGGATCATCCCGTCGCTTGCCACCAGTTGTTACGGTACCTCCAGTAATGAAATGTATAAAACGCCGTTTAGTGAGTATTCCCCGTTCGCAATAATGTAGGCTGGTAGCGGGTATAGTAAAACCATGCGAACCGCCAGCTGGGGAACACTCCAAACTCCCGAACGGTACCTGTACGGCTATTTCCCTCCACGAGCTCCAAATCCACGAACTGCCAATATTAGCCGAACGCTAATACCTTCCAAGCGGCAAATATTTCCAATCAGCAGTCTCTAAGCGTCGGTAACCCAATCCCCCCAATAACGAGACCAAGCTCCGCTTTGAGGGTAAAACACGAACTGGTTTACTGTGGGCTACCTGCCCGGTATTTATGCAGGTCTCCCACTTGGTGGACACTCCCCTAGGGGACCAAATGGGAGACTGAAATCACAGAGGGACATGGGGACATTCTGGACATACATCCCCACAATATTCCCAGCATGTAGTACAGTTCCCTCCCCTCTGCTCAGGGAATAATTGGGAAGTAATTCAATTATCTCCCCGAGCAGAGGCAATCGCCATTTTAGATACAAGTTATAAAAACACACAAAAATCCATAACTTAATAACTGCTGAACATTTTACATCAGTCTTGCATATCCCCAGATAGCCTGGATCTGAGGGCACATTATTGGAGAATAGCGCTCAGATCCCATTCGCACAGTTCAATCGCCATGGAGTCAAAGTCTCTTTCAGTTCTTCGGTATGCGATTGACTCCATGGGACGGCTATCTGGGTTAAGTCCATTCGTGTGGTTGAATCTCCCGAACGGCTGTCATTCGCATGCTTTTGTCGATTGAGAAGGGGAGGTCGACGGCTTCAGCGGTGTTCGGCTGAAAAAGTGTCCGTTTTCCGATCCATGAAATAATCGTCGAACACCGCTGGTCGTTCGCATGGACAAAATGGCCGCCGCCTCGTGGTCGACATACGAACGACGACCACCCGGCATTCGGTTTTTAATTGAGAAGTGTCTGTGGTTAACCGCAACGTTCTAATTGGGATCAATAGGTTAACCAGCAGCACACTTCTCTTCTGGGTGGCCGTCCGTTCGGTAGTTCCGTTCGACAAAACCGACATTCCCTTAAACAAAGCATACGAACGGGGAAATTCATGAAAACGGCAAAACAGACGAACAACGCAGTTATAATCCAGACAGATGGGTCTGTCACAGGCACTAAAGAAGTTAACCCCCTATTTGTATGGACAAGAGTTCACTCTAGTTACAGACCATAACCCGCTGGTGTGGCTCAACCAGGTCGCTGGGGACAATGGCAGATTGTTACGCTGGAGCTTATCCCTGCAACCCTTTAATTTCACAATCACCTACCGACCTGGGAAGCAGAACGGCAACGCAGACGTAACAACTACATCTCCCATTATCCCACTACATGGACACTACATGGATAACTACTTCTCTCATCATCCCACTACATGGATAACTACATCTCCCATCATTCCACAAAAATTGAGAACTACATCTCCCATCATCCCCTTCATATATAACTTCATATAACCATCACCCTGTGCATGGAGAACTACATCTCCCATCATCCCCCTACATGGTGAACTACATCTCCCATCATCCCACTACATGGTGAACTACATCTCCCATCATCCCACTACATGGTGAACTACATCTCCCATTATCCCCTGTATATATAACTATATCTACCATCATCCCGTGCACTGAGAACTACATCTCCCATCATCCCACTGCATAGATAAATACATCTCCCATCATCCCCTGCATATATTACTACATCTCTCATCATCCCACTATATGGATAACTACATCTCCCATCATTCCCTGCATAGATCACTACATCTCCCATCATCCCACTACATCCATGAGCTGATCGTCTGCAATAAGCAAAGCCTGATTTCAGAATTATCAAACCCCAATACTGCTGTAAGAAAGTCAGTACTCCATCACCTGATCGTCTGCAATAAGCAAAGCCTGATTTCAGAATTATCAAACCCCAATACTGCTGTAAGAACGTCAGTGCTCCATCAGCAGAAACCCATCTCGTCAGAATTTTGACGGCAGCGTACCAGGGCACTCACATTGCTGAGCGCACTGCCGACAGGAACGGGCAATAGCCTCAGCCTAGCCCCTGAGAACCTCTGGGAAGAAAACAGAAAGCGCAACATGTCCAGATTGAAGAGCACCCAATACCCAAAACATCACCGAACCCATGTCATTCCACCCAGAGATGACAAAAAACCCTTGGTACCTCCATGAGGCGGGAAAGCTGACCCCGTACGAGGAGGACCACACCCCTTACATGTATCTGGTGCCAGACCACTGAACCTCCGCTCCCTAAGGCGTAAGATCCAACCACTCGCCCCCTCCTCCCAAATGGCCCAAATTACATACAAGCATCCCACCATCCCCATTCCGGGGGTGGGAGGGGGACTGTAACCGCGGAGATTGCGGAGACCAGCACGGTGAACCTGAGGAACCCACCACCCTGACTCCCACCATTCGAGCCTTCTGAACCATTGGCGCAGGCACGCCAAGCCTGGCGGCGTCCGTAGCCGTCCCCTACCAGAATAAATGCCCCTTGAACTCCCCACCATCCTTATCCAGGAATTCAAGCCCCAAGCGGAACACCCAAACTAAATGGACGCTGGAGAGAAACCCATCTCCAGGAACCAAACAAGGGTGAGGATGCCGGATAATCCAGGGGACGGAACAGCACTCCCGATGAAAAACAGGCAAATGACGGAACCCTGCACTGCCCCCGATTGGACCGGTATATTTCAGACTATCCTGGGAACCCACTACATCGTGTTAGGAGCCCAACCATTACCCCGTGCATTCCATCTACCTTAGGAGAATGCAGAAAGGCCAGGGCATGTCAACTCCGCAACATCCAAGAATTGCACAGATTTACTTACCCGTCCCAACGACAACAGCCGTCGAGCGGCGAAACCTGAAGTAAGTCCGTTCCACGCTTACTCAACTCCACCAAAACACCCCACCACTTGCCGACGACCGTAACATGAACAGGAAGCCGAGCCTTGCTAATTACCCCCAACGCCCTTAACAGACGGAACTAAACATGTAGATGAGCAGTCCACTCCCGGAAACCCCCAAGGAAACGTTCCCATCCGTCCCGATCACTCCCACCTTACTGGAGCGGGCCCCACGCCGCCTCATAGGTCGAGCCAAGGACCAGCTTCATCAGACCGTTGGACCAAGCGACCACCTCCACTGCCCTAAAATTGACCCCACGACACCTCTGCCTGAAGTACGCCCTGTAATGGACAAGACAGAGCATCGGCCACCACATCGGGAATTCCCGGACAAAAAAACCCTGACCAGCCGCCCCCAGACTCAAACAGCGCCGAGCCAGGCGCCGCAACCAGAGTAACACCGGGGTAGAGGGTACTGTCACATGATGACAGCCAGCACTGCCCCACGATGTTCCCAAAGGAAAACCCACCCACCTGTTCGTAAGCTGGGCACCCCATGCCTACCATGCCACCAGAGAGGGGAAGTTCCAAGAACAACAGAGTCCGCCAGAGCCCCGATGCTTGCCAGTGTAATGGGCAAGAGTCAGCACACAATTGAGAGCCCAAAATGGCCCAAAACCCCCCAAACCTGCTGCAGCAGCAAACAGTTGGAAGTCAGCGGAAAAGACTTAGGAGGCCAGATTGCACAAGCCACCAGAAGGAACCCCAACAAGCAAAGCCCAGCGTACCCAGGAGAGTCCAAAGGTAGCGCAGCCGAAACCCACAACGACACTCAAAACCTCTGACACCTCCTGCCTGATGTCCCAAACCGCAGTCAGGGGCAACCGACGTTCCTTTGCAGGAATCGATCCCACTATCCAGGAGACTACAGCACATATCCCCACCCACGGATATGGCCTGGGCCACGGAACTCCGAAACTCAAAACACTACCCCAGGAAAAAACACTGCAGCAGCAGAGTGCAGACATGCGGCACCGACGGCCCCACACATAAGCGACATCGGGAGCAACTCACGTGGAGGCACATAGCCACCCAATCCTGACCGTCGGAAACACAGCCTGGAAACAATAAACCCGACGGGCGTACCGGCAGCAGCCGGAAAACAGATTCCACAGCCGCCTTCGTCAGCAAGGCCCCGCAGCCCCACCCACGCAGACCGCTGCGCCGAGCCACCATCTCAAACCTAGCCCCTGGATGGAAACGACAACTGAGTAAATAAGGAATCTGGCGATACCGACCCCGCTCCTCCATGGGCACCATATCCCAAAAGGGGGACCCGCAGAGCGGACTTCAGGGGCACCCTAAACGATCAGGAATTAAGCTTAGCAAGCGTTCTTGGTAAACTGGACCCACACCGCCCGATGGAGCTCTCACATGGACTGAGGGCCCTGCACCGAGAGCACCCACATCCCCCATCCCGACAGATTGCAGAAAGGACGAAAACACACTGTGCTGAGGCGCCAGGTGAGCCCCAAGTAAAACCAGAGGCCGAAGCCCATCCGGTCCCAGGCCAAGAAAGGTCGCACCGCCAACCGTTGACGAAAGTGCAAAACATACCTTCACCAACCAAGCTCAACCCAGGGACGATACGTGTCCCGAGAGTGTCCTGATCGCAGAACCACGCAGCGCAGTCTCGGGGAGCCCCCTCCCCGACCATGCTATCCAGAAACCGGGGTGCATCCGAATATGCGCCCTGGGGTGTATCCGCCCCGGAGAGCCCCTAATGTCCCCCTTAGTCAAGGAGGGAACATACCTGCAATAAAGGGAACATACCTGCAATAAAAGCCCCTTCCACATCTGCTCCCTAGTATTACGCGCAAGCCAAGCGGGCCACATGAGCTCAGCAGCACCCAGAATCACGTGAACCTGGGAATCATCGCTGGCGCTATCAGCTGCGCTGGATGCTGCGGGAAAGCGTACTTAAACATATGATACATACTGAAAACGGGGGGGGGGATTCTGTTTTGGATTCTATTTCATTTTTTTTTGTTTTGTTTATTCTTCCCCTTGTACTTGACATTGGATTCCTTTTTTTTTTTTTTTCCATTTGGTAATTTACATTTTATTTCTGTCCTGTAATTTTCTCTCCGTTTGCATTTATTTGTCTTTTTTTTTTTTTTATTCTTTATTTATTTATTTTTTGTGCTAAGAGGACTAGACTAAATAAAAGAAGTTAGAACGTACGCACGCGAAGCGCTAAAAAAGAAGGGGGGGAAATGTACTCACCGGTCGCAGCCTGGCGATCCAAGCCCGGCCCGGCGCTCACAGAAGGCTGAGGCAAAGAAACAGCAGTTCCAGCATCCACAGAAGACATCAGCTGTGATCCAGGCGCCACCTGCTGGACGGGTCCATGAACTGCGGCAGTATCCTGAGATACTCACCTCCCCGCCGGCCGCGGGGGACCTCACGCAGCCCAGGCGGTGCCTCGGGCCCGGGCTCCTGCTCCTCAACCGGGCCCGAGGAGTAGGATCCAGGGACAGCCTGGCAGGCGGGCGGGAACGTCTGCCAGTGCTGGAGCGGCCCCCAGGGGCAGGGGCTGCATGGGAGGCAGCAGGGGAGACCGCAGGGGGTGCTCCAGGGGGAGGTAGGCCACGGGGGGTGCCCACACTGGCAGCCATACCTCCAGTAATGCTTGTAAATTCCTCCCTTAGTTGCCGGCCACCATCCACGCTGCAGCAACCCTGAGGGACGACCGGATCCATCACCTCAAGCTGTGTAAATCTGCAGGCCCAGGCAAACAGGAGCAGGAGGACAGGAAGCTGTTTGCTGGCCCGAATTCCAAGTGGCACTGAGGTAAGACCTCCCCCACACTAACTTACACAGAACATAATCCCACCCACACACTCTATCCCAACCAATCCCATGCATCTATCCCCACACTCCTACATGTGCCCTTGTCCGCTTAGCTGCGCTATCTCCCCAGGGCCTGAGTACCACTGGCTCCTGCTAATATTAGTTGGGGGCTTTGGGATTGATTTATTTATGTCAGTATTTATATTTAATCTGTGGGGGATTTTACTGTTTTTCTGTAGTTTATGTTTTGATTGTTTATGTGGTTATGCACTTGGTTTAGGGGTCTTTGGGGCCTTTCTGCCCTTACTGTTCCCTTATTTTCTTCCCCCCCTCTGCCTATCTGTTAGAGTAACTACATCTCCTGACATTGTGATTTCCCTGCATATCTTTCTATAGAGCCTTTTATAACACTCTGTATTTGCCTAAGTTCCTCCTATTACCTAGATACTGTCATCCCTTCTGCCCTTTCTATGTCGGGAGGTGTAACGGATCACCTGACACCCCGCCTGGGTACCTCCGTTGAAGGATGCTCCTAGCACTTCCTGAGGGCTCCAAGCACTGCAGCAGACACCATAACCACCGTAGACTCCTCCAGAGAGCAAGGCAGGAACAAGCTCTTACAAGAGCTTAGCAGTGAATATAGCAAGGGAGTATGCAGAGCATAGCAATCCCTTGTAGCAGATTCCCCCAATAAGAGACGACGCTCCAAATTGAGGGTGAAGTAGAACTGACTGTACTGGCACATACAGCCTCTTTTATTCACATTCTACAAACATAGTACTGCCCACAGGGTTTTACAGAACAACCAATAACACACGTACGTTACAGAAAACACTCTCAGCAATTATACACAAAATCCTCCCCTCTGCCTGTGATATAATTATGGTACACAATGGCTTAACATAATTATCACAGGCAGGAAAAATACAGCTTTTATATATTTACTATAACTTTAACAATATACATTCAATCTTCATAAATAATAAATAAATTACATATTATTAATCAGCACATTTCAAATATAAACTTACCCAAAAATCATTCAAATCCGTTCAGCCGTTCGGGAGATAGATATAAGTCTATTTCCCATGTTAAAGTCAGTTCAAACAGACGAACGACAACCATTCGAATTGTCGAACTGTCGAATGAACTGTCGAATGCATTGAAGTCTGGAGAAGGTAAAACTTCAGCTGAATTAAAGATGGCTGCCGCCACGTGTTCGTTTGTCGAATTGTGGCCACTTCGACTACTTCGGCTGCATCCGAAGTGCCAATTTAAAGCTGCAGAACTGCTCCAATACAATTTAAAGGGGCAGCAAGTCTTTTAAAATCCAATCTGCTAAAATAGTCTTTAACAGGTAATATCTTCCAAGGGCCATAGTCTTAAAGGGGCATTGTTCCCAAAAGTCACAGTATGTCCCCAGATGGTTCTTAAAGGGCCAGCAGCAGCATAATAAAATACAATATGCCCAAATACTGTATTAAAATGGCCAAATCTCCCAGAGGCCATAGTCAGCAGGCAGGAGGCGGGCAAACAGGCTTCTCCAATGCCCAGTGGCGAAGTTGGTTTCGCCACAGGCGGGTTTATGTGCCGCTTGAGGGCTTGCTGGAGGCTAACAATCAGCTTGCTGCCTCAGACCCCCTGAGCTCCGGGACCGCGGAGTCACCTCCGGCAGTCCTGCGCCTTTCTGGCCGGTCTCTGGGGTACTCGCGATCGAGCACGAGTACCCGGCGGCCGGACCGATTCCACACGTGGCTGCTTACCGCGGCCGGCTCCAGCTCCCGACCACGTGTGTCTGGCCGGGTGGAGGATGGGGCGATTTACTCGCGGCCCTTCCCCCGGCTGTACAGGATAATGCACTCACTGTATATCAGCATGGATTTGCTGAGAATACCTATGGATGCATGAACAGGGATCTGGGTTTTGACTTTCAGACACGGAATGCTTTATAATTAAATTGTGTCTTCTATGTGTAGATCACATTACAATATATTTATTACTTAGGAATACTTTTTATGCTTCTATGGAGGTCTGATTGCAGGGTCTTTTAGTCATTTATCGTATTAGGTAAATGCTATATCATATCAGGGCAAAATGAAGAGGTACCTTTTCCAGTTTTTGTTAATAGGCTAACTTGATAGGATTATGTTTCCTACACTGCATGACCGTAAAGGACATACATATTCTGACAGGAATTAGAGACCATATACATGTTAGTGCTCTTAGCACACTTTCTCTCTACCATGTGGGTTTGGTATACTGTATGGCTGGCTCCTAATTACCCAAGATTATATATATATATATATATACATATATATATATATATATATATATATATATATATATAGATGGGGCTCTAGCAGTGCATTCGGTCTCCAGCTGCTGGCAGAACACTGCATCTGTGGTTGGCCGGGTATGCCTGTGCCCATCGACCGGCCTGCCAGGTCTGTACCCCATGGACTGGCCTGCTAGGTCCGTACCCCATTCACAGGCCTGCTGGATCTGCGCCCCATTGATTGGCCAGCTATGTCTGTGCCCCACTGATTGACAAGCTATGTTTGCTTCCCATTGATTGGCCTGCTATGTCTGTGCCCTATTGATTGGCCTGCTATGTCTGTGCCCATTTGATTGGCCTGCTATGTCTGTGCCCCATTGATTGGCCTGCTATGTCTGTGCCCATTTGATTGGCCTGCTATGTCTGCGCCCATTTGATTGGCCTGCTAGGCCTGTGCCCCTCTGACGGGCCTGCTCTATCAGTGCCCTTGTTGGCTTGATCTATCGGTGCCGGACCCCCTTTTGCCGCAGGTCTGGGGGACTATCACTGAGGAAAACCCAGTACCCACTATTGACATGGAGATAGGTGGGTGCCCAAGCAAACACCACTACCATACTATCCAAGAGGACACCAGTATAAGGCCACCTGAGCATGGTGGGAACGGTGAAGGCCCTAAAACCTCATGCCTGAAGGGCAAGGTTTTTTATGAAGACCCGGGCACGCAACCACGGTTTACACCGGCCTGGCAGAGGCACAGCCCCCATGGAGAATTTCACACAGGCAGGGACCAGTACTCAGGCCCCAACAGGAGGACAAGGTGTTCCCTTGTCTTTAGCAACTAATCCTCTACTGCCTTCCGGTATCCATCTTAGATATCGGTAGTTATTCCTGCATCAGGTTAGCTCCTGGCCCTGTTTAGTTGGACCTTCTTGACTTGTTTTCCGGCCTGTTATTTACCTTCTATCCAAGGTATGTAATTACCCTTATCTACTTTTATTATCATTTTGTTTTT